AAAAAAAAAAAACAGAATGCGGCCGATTAGATCAGGATAGCTAATGACGCAACAATTTTATAATTGTGAAACCATCTATATATATATAGAGAAAGGATCATATGAGAATGATTCCTAGTGAAGAAATAAGAATGAATATACACCATTAGAACAATCATATCAATGAACAAGATGAAGTCAAGCATTAATAAATCTGGTCAAAACACTATGGCATAGTTGTAAATTTATGTTTATTTCATAGTCAATTGAACAACCCAAAGGGCACTAGTGTAATTTCAATTTTCACCATAATAAAGTGGGTCCCACCACTAACTCTTCCCTTCACTTCTCTCACACACACAATTACACACACATAAAAGCTGCTTCTTTTCTACGCACACACACAACTCCACACACATACACACACACACACAGTCACCACCATCACCTACCACCGCCGGAATCCACCCGCCGCCGCCATCACATCTACCTGTCGTCGCTGTCCTATGCCACCAGACTCCGACCACAGCCGGCCTCCAACTGCAGCGAGTCTCCGCCCGCAACCGAACTCCGACAGCAGCCAGTCTCCGCCTGCAACCAGCTCCATCCGCAGTCTGCCTCCACCCTCCGCCGTCAACTAGCGACCAACCTGCCATGTAAGTTGCTTTATACGACCGAGACCTCCCCGGGTCGTACAGTGGTGGAGTAGACCGACATCCGTGGCAGAGCCGCCGTCTCACTCGACTTTGTTAGTTGCCACCTACCAATTTTGAGTCAAAAGAAGGCAACAACCCATTTCTTTTGATAGCATCACAAAGAAGAAAAATACAGCACATCTTTGTGGAAATTTGGTGCATTCTTTCTTCTATAAATAGCTAAGCAATTCAGAGAACAAATACAACCAAGAAACATAACAACAAAGAGAGAGAGAAAAGAGTAGAGAGAGTGTATTCATACGGGCTTGTGTGAGTTGTAACATTCGGTTTATCCTCTTATTCTAGTTCATTCTCCTGGCTTGGTTCGCCCCCAGACGTAGGATTTAATCCGAACTGGGTTAACAAATATTCGTGTCTTTTATTGTTTTCACATTGGTGTGTTGTTATTATTCCATCTTATCCGACCTTATTTCCCAACAACTGGTATCAGAGCCAGGAGGTTAGAGATAAGATGGAGGGAAAGATTCCAGTCGAAGGGTTCAATGGTTCCGACTTTGGATTCTGGCGAATGCAAATGGAGGCTTACCTGTACGGGAAGGACCTCTACGCACCTCTTGGGGAAAAGCCCGAGAAGATGAGCGATGATGAATGGAAGGTGCTCGATCGGAAGGCGATGAGCGCTATAATTCTTTCGCTCTCTCGAAACGTCGCCTACCATGTGAAGGGAGTAAAAATCACGAAGGAGGTCTTGCAGACACTCGCCGACATGTATAAAAAACCATCAGCAATAAACAAGGTGATGCTGATGAAAAAGCTGTTCAAATTGCAAATGGAGGAGCGAAAGTCAGTGGCCGATCATCTCAACGATTTCAACCAACTCACGACGCAGCTGGCATCGGTGGATATTTCATTTGATGATGAGGTAAAAGCCCTAATCTTGCTTTCATCATTGCCGGACAGTTGGGACGTGGTTGTTACTTCGGTGAGCACTTCTTCTGGCAAGGAGAAAATGAAGTTCGACAATATAAGAGATATGATGTTGAACGAGGAGACCCGCAGAAATCAGGCGGGTGGGTCGTCTGGCTCAACCCTACATACAAAGTCCAGAGGGAGACCCGAAACACGAGGGAAAATCCGTGGGAGGTCAAAATCTAGGGGGA